CCGTGGTCGACTACGGGGGAGTCCAGTGACATAGCCATTACGCTAACTGCTGGTCCCATCCCTTGGAATTTTGAGCACATGTACACGCCCAGCACGACCTGCACGACACCAGGCCAGGATGAAGACACTCAAGGAGCTGGGGGTGCTGGGAGCCAGGATGTAGGGTTTGAGCCTGCAGGGGGCAAGCTGGTAAAGCGAGTGGGGTATCCCGCCACACAAAGACAGCAAAGAGGTGATTTTTTTTCCCCCTGGAAATGAGGCAGTAGAATGAGAAAGATTTAGGAAAGAAGGAGATCCTCGGAAGAACAGAGACATTCTAGGGAGGGGCTAGAATGAAATGTTCACTATAGAGACAGCACTGGAGAGAACAATGAAGAGAGAGCCAAGGATGAAACGTGAATTACTCAAGAAACCGAGGCACTTTTCGTGAGGATAGCTCAGATGTCTGGGGTGGGGGAAGTCTCAGAGGTTCCTGTCCTGTCCTCTGGCCTCAGAGTCATTGCTTCAGGAGTCTCAGGCCTTTCCTGTCAGGTGCTCACTTCATTCAACAGCAGCCTTGGCTCCAGCCTGGCCTCTCCCATCCGCCTGGATAATGTCCCTTTTTTGTGGAGACCCGGGAGGGCGTGTGTGGCATGCAGTGCTGACCCGATCAGGCTTCCAGCACCGCACGGCCTCCGCCTGCACAGGCCCATGCTGGCACCGGTGGTCAAGCCAACCATGCCTTCCTGCATTCTCACTTCTTTCCAAACCCAGCTCAAGCTTCCTCTCTGCAAGGCCTACCTGGCCAAGTCCAGTGCCCTTCCTCTGTACTTCCCTGGCATATCAGGCTGCACCAAAATTACTGTCTCCATGTCCATCTCTCTCCCAGACTTGTGTTTTTTGTTTTTAAATTTTGCCAGAGAGCATGTGCACTCACTAGAGAGACAGAGAGGGGGAGGGGGAGGAGGCACCCCTTGCAATGGGTCATGGTCATGCTGCATTCCCTTTTCCATTTCTCCACCCTGTTGGGATTTGGGCATGAAATGTGCCCAGAATGTTTTCAAGCCACCGGGTCCAGGTCTCAAACCATGTGATCAGTCATGTGGGACTTGGCTCCCTTGACCACTATGCAACAGGGCTGGCCTAGAATTGTTCCTTTAAAGGGAGAGGCCACATCTCATCCATCTTTGTCCTGTGGGCACCTATCGCAGGACTGGGGACACTGCAGGTGTTCGTTATTTCTTCATGACGTTTGCCTCTCTGACTGTGCAGGTGGAAGGGACATTCTCTCCTCTGGACCACTGTTCTACCCTGTAGAGACATGCACGGGTGCTCCCGCGCACTGTAACGCACATATGACTAGCTGTCTCCTCCGGGCACTGACTCATCTTGACCTTGCCCAATGCTCGCAGACCCAGCGAGGCGCCTGTGGGTAGAAATGCCCAGGAGCTCCTCGCTGGATGAACGGGTCACAGATGCGGCTGCCTACCTACCTTTCCTACCCAGTGGGGAAGAGGGTGGGGAAGGCCGTCCCAGGATGCAAGCAGTCTCCCCAGAAACCTCTTCCTTCGTGTTCCCACAAGGCACATCCACAACTCCTTTTCTGTTAAGAGGCCTTAGTTGTGACCCCTAGAGATGTTGGGAGCCAGGACATAGGGTTTGAGCCTGCAGGGGACAAGCTGGTAAAGCGAGTGGGGTATCCCGCCAGCAGGGGAGCTTCAGAGATAATCGCATCCCAGAACTAGGGGTTAGAGGGGCCCGATTCCAGGGCTGGAGGAGGGAAGCACCTCCATGTGCTTCCATCCCCAATCGTAAGCTGGGCCTAGGCCACGGACAGAGTCCCTCCCCACTCCTGGTGTGGCCATGGAGGGAGCACAGAGGTTCTGAGTAAGACACCTGGGTGAGAGCCTGGCTGTGCCACTCGCTGGCTGGGCAGCCCCGAGGGGTCTCAGACCTCCGCTGTGCTTTGGCCTCTTCCCCCTGGATAGGTCTGTGGCGGGGCTATGGGATGGGGATGGTGGGCACCAGTAGCTGGCTCCCCCGGGGGACCCACGCCCAGCCGACCCGGGTCCTTACTCTTTTAAAATTTTTTTTTGGAGAGGTTTTTGCTATAGGGCACGTGCGCTCGCCAGCCAGACAGAGACAGAGAGACAGAAAGCGAGAAATCACCCCCCCAGTGGGGAAGGCCACGCTGCAATCCCTTCTCTTCCATTCTCCTCTCGGGATCTTGGGCACACACGCACACACGCCCAGCGTGAGTTTAAGCCACCAAGTCCGGGACTCGAACTGCGGTCCACTATGTGGGAGTCCAGCAACATAGCCATTATGTAACTGCTGGTCCCTCTGGGTCCTTACTCTTGTACTCCAGGTGGAAGCCGGCCGCAGACACGCTGATGTCTGAGTAGAAGTGCAGGTAGAGCTGGTTGGAGGTGCTGTTCAGGAGGGCAGGCACGGTTGTCCCTAGGTGGGGAAGGCAGGGTCACTTCTGTGCAGCCTCCCGGGTGCCCACGCCCCTCCCGGCTCCTCTTGCTTTTGCTACCTACGAACCTTCTGCTCCCGAGGCCTGCAAGTGTCCCCAGTGACGAGGTGCCCTAAACAATGGATTAGCCTTCCTCAGAGTGCAGGGTCTCTCATGGCCAAGGGCCGGAACCTCCCCATTCTGCCCGCAGGGGCATGGGGCAGAGCCCTGAGCTGTAGGAGCCGGGCTCTTCAGGCTACCCAGGAGCTTGGGTTCCTCCCAGCCATGTTCAAAATGACCCTGACATGTATCTGGGCTATCCGGCAGTGTAGACCATGGATCTGGGACACACGACCCCTTTGTGAATCTTGGCCCCATGGAGTTCTGAGTTTGAGCTTCAGGTAACTGTCCTGGCCGCTGGGTAAAAACATGCACCAGGCTGAGCAGTCCACCATCGGGTGGGGTGTGGCACCGCCACTTAGGAAAAGTGCTGGCAGTCCCACAAAGCGAAACGGAGTTACCGTACGAGCGAGCAGTTCTGACAGGCGTGTGCCCGGAGAGCCACGGCATACGCTCGCACGACCACAGGAGCGTGGGTGTTCACGGCAGCATTATTCACTGAGCCCCGAAGTGGAAACAATCCACTTGCCCACCAGCGGAGGAACGGATCAACAAAGTACGGGCTAGCCATAGGACACGGCGCCAACACACCGCGGCCTGGTGAGTCGCACCCACTGTGCTAAGGGACAGAAGCCCGACTCGGGAGCCACACGTGGCATCTCACTGATCTGCGACGCCTGGGACGGGCGAATCCGCAGACGGAAAGCAGGTCAGCGGGGAGAGACGGGGAGTGAGCACCAACGGGGGCTTGGTTTCTTTCTGGAATGACCCAGAGCCCTGGGATCGGGAGGGCAGTAGTGGTGATGGCTGTAGAAGCCTGTGAGTGTCCAAAAAGCTAGAGTGTACCGCTTGAAACGGCGCTCTTGGCGTGTGCGTTCTCTCTCAGCGATGATGGCGTCTACCACGACCTCTGACCGAGCCCGGAATCCCCAGCTTACCCGAGAAACTCCCCAGCATGGTCACGGTGTTGTCCGCACCGTCGAACACTTCCAGGGAGTCCCAGTTCTGCTCTGTGACAAAGCTGATGACCTGAATCTGGGCAGGCAGAAGGATCGACTCATTGGCCAGGTGGCCCGGGTCCCTCCTCCCCGTCCTCCTCATGGGCAGTCGAGTTCACTGAGCACCTACTCTGGGCCCTTCCCAGGGGGTAGGACACACATCTGCTCTGGAGCTGGCGGCCAGTGGGGAGGACAGATGTGAAACAAGTGACTATCAGGCGGTGGGTGCTCCATGAGGCAGAGGGTGGGAACGCTGTCCAGCTGGCCTGCTCCGCTCTGGAGCGGTTCTCCTCACTTTCCAGACCCGATTGCATCCGGCTTCCCACGGGCAGCGCCAGTAACCGCTCCGCGCAGATCTTCCCAGCCAGGACCCGCGTGCTGCTGCGGCCCCGCATCTTCCTACCCTCTTCCAACCTCACGCCAGAGCCTGCGCCTCCACCCCTGTGGCCCCAGCTGCGTGCCCAGTGCGGTGCTCACAGCTCAGGCTACCACCGCAGCCAACCTGGTGGTGCGTGGCGGGTCTCCGGCCTCAGCTCACTCCTTCCTCTCTGCACAGTCTCTCCCCTCCCATCTTCCGCAATCTTAAGAAAATGCCCTTTAGGCACTTGAAAACATTTTCTGTCTCCTCCCCAGCCTTTGAACTGCAGTTCCAGACCGGCGTCCTTCCCTGCTGGCCTGAGCCAGGGTCCCCTCTCCTTCTCCCCTGGACTCTGCTCACACCCCTTGACGCTCCCTGCCCGCAAGCTGCGTGCTTGTCTGTCTGTGGGTCCCACCGCCGCGACAGGGCAGGGTTGTTTGACCCATCTCCTCCGCTCAGCGCAGCTCAGGCCTGCCAGGCCAGCGTGGTGGGCGGTCACCTCCCCTACCTGGATGCCGGCGCCTTCGGGGACCACGATCTTCCACACGCAGTTGAGGCTGTTGAGGTAGGGCTCTGGGAAGCCAGGGGACAGGATGGTGCCCTTGCGCTCTGTGAGATTGCCTCCACACGGCACTGGGAGGAGAGGCGGCTGTCAGAGGCTCTCCCTGGTGTCCTCGGGCTCCTCCCTCAGGACCCCTCCACATCGGCTCAGGCCCCACCTTCTGCTCTGGGCTTCCCCGGCTTCTCCTGACACAGACCTCCTTCCAGCCCAGCCCCTGCCTCAGCCGCCCTTCACAAGCACCCTTCTCCAGCACCCACGTGCCTTATTCATTTAATGTGTGTGTCTGCAGGGGGGAAGGAGGGGTGGCAAGAGAGAGAGAGAACGAGAGAAAGCACCCCTCAAGGGAGACGGCCACACTGCAACCCTTTCTCCATGCTCCTCTTGGCACCTCGGGCATGCATGCACACACCCTGGTGTTTCTCAAGCTACCGGGGCCGGGACTTGATCTGTGTAGTCAGCCATGTGGGATCTAGCTGCCTTAACCACCACGCCACCAGCTGGCCCAGCCTCCCACACACACCCAGCCCTAGCTTCTAGTCCTCGCACTCAGCCCACAGAACCGGGGCACTGGGCAGAGGGTCTCTGCCGGGACTGCGGCCTCCCCCAGGGAGAAGGGACTGGCTGCTGGCTGTCCAGGTCCTCACCCACACACGTTGGTGCCGAGACGTTCCACTGGGCCAAGGCCCCCGGCACGGGGAGGCACTGGATTTCCGGGGACCCCTGCAGGGCGTAGCCTGAGCTGCATTCGAAGCGGACGACGGCGCCCACCGAGAAGTCACTGCCCAGCCTCCTGCCGTAGCGGGGCTCGGGAACCGAGCTGCACTGCGTGGCACTGGTCCGGGGCACCGCTGCAGGGGACAAGGCACTGACAGGTGGGCCTCGGCCCTCTAGAAACTGGCCGGGATGGACACATGATGGGCTGGAACAGAGACAGCCTGGAGGGGAGGCCGGCAGGCTCTGGGGCCTTCCCTCAGGGCAGGGGTTGGGGGAGTCAGGGGGACGCCCGTTTCATGGTGGCCTGGCTGGACACATGGCATTCTAGCGGGTTTTCGAGTGGGAGGGTGAGGAGGGGTGAGATGCTTTGGCCTCTTCCTGTGTGCAAGGCCTGCCGGAGGCCCTGCTGTCCACGACCGGCCCCTCCTTTCTCCTGGCCCACAATGGCGAACCTTGAGCCCAGGCCCAGGCCCAGGGACAGTGCCCTGAATGGCAGGATCACCCCGCACAGGGATACAGCTCCTCCTGGGCTGCCAAAGGACCAGGACCACAGGGCCTCACAAGGGCAGGTGTTCCACTGGACAGGGGAGTCTGGGGCCCGCAGGCGAGAGCTGGGGCACGTCAAGATGTCGCCTCTCTGGGCCGGTGAGGACGGGAGTCAGCCCTGGTGACCCGCTCAGGACCAGCTGCCTGTCAGTGAGGCGCACCACCCTCCTCACAGGTGAGCAGCGGGCTCCGAGACGGGGACCAGCTGGTGCCGCAGGAAGAGGCAGAGCTGGGATTCGAGTCCACGTCCACCATGCTCAGAGCCTTGTTTCCCCCACACCCCGCTGTGCTCTGCAAACACACCCAAGCTCCGGGAGGCACCTGGTAAGGGGCCTGGTCTCCCCAGGGCCATGTGGCCTGCACGGACAGTGGGTGAGGGATAGAGGGGCAGAAGTGGGCTTCCCCGTCTGGCTGGTCTAACATGTCTGCTGTGCATGCGAACGTGTAAAATTCAGCCGAATTTCAGGGCACTGCCCCTCAATCTGGTAAGCACCCCAAGTGCTCTGAGAAGACGCTGTCGAGGAGTCGCAGTGCTCCCCCTCAGGCCCCGAGTCATGGAAGAGCCCAGACGGCTTTGTGCCTCCGCACCCGTGGCCCGCGTACCTTGATAGACAAAGTGGAAGCCTCTGGCTGGGGCCTGGCCTTTGGCGCTGAACTTAATGAGAACTTGATTGGAGGTGGCCAAGGGCAGCGACTCTCCTGCCGAGATGAGGGGAGGGGAGAGGAAGAAAGTGAGTCTGGCAGTCAGGCCCAGCGGCTGAACTCCTGGCCAGCCAGGGGCTGCCGCGCCCACACGGCGGCCCCGTCCACATCGCAGCCCTCCGGCAAGTCCCGCACGTGTGCTGCCCTTCCCGGCGTCGGGTTTACAGACGGCTCCCACCCGCGGTCTTCCCGGACCTCTGGGCAGCGTGGGGTCAGCGCAGCACCCACCTGCCAGCGCAGGAGGCGGCGGTTCGGGAAGACCCAGAGACCTGCCTGGAAGGAGGAGGCTCGGACTTCGGAGCCACAGGGACGGGGAAGGACAGTTACCTCCCCGAGCAGTGGTGGTTTACTTGGGAAAAAGTCTACCTGATAAAAATCCAACAAACACACAACGACATCGAAATGGCACCGGCTTCTGCAAGGACGGTGACCCGGTGAGGCGGCGGATGGCCAGAGTGGCCGGGTAATTTACTGTCACACTGGGGCCCTCTGGAGGGTGAAAGGGTAGCTACCGATAATTATGCTGGACAGCCAGGAGGAGGCTGGGACTGTCCTGGGTGAACCCAACCCTAACCCATGATGAGGGAAGACCTGCAGCTACAGGACACGAGGGGAGGCTGTCAGCTTCTGGAAGATGACATTGCTCCTAATGTGGTTCCGCCAGATGTGGCTCAGATGGGCAAGACTGGGGACCGCATGGACTGGACCCGCAGCCCTGAGGCACGGGCCTGCTGTCATCACTTCGCTGTGGGGCTCAGGAGACACGTGGGTGGCTGGCAGTGGCATGGCCACCCTGCATGCTGCCCTTCTTCCTGAGGGACCCTTGCAAGCAGCTGCTGACCCCACCCTCAGCAAGGGAGTAGAGGTCAGAGTGCCGGGCCCCACGTCTACTACAGCGATGGCTGGGTGGGACCACTGATGAGGAGCCACTGGGGCCACAGCAATGCTTCCAGAAAGCGCTTCTGTGTGACGCGACCTGGGGTGGGGGGTGAGGGCCTTCACACAGCCCCTGGAACTACGTGTGACCCTGACGGCTGACCCCGGCCAGGCCGCTAGCTTGGAGACCCGTGACGATGGAATCCAGGCGTCTCTCAGAACCCGTGCCAACGTCTGTCCCGGACACACGTGGACTCCCTGACCAAGCACGTGGTAACACCACAGGATGTAAGGGAAGTTTTCAAAGTCTTAATGGGGGAGACCACTCAGAAGTCAAAGCAAGTCTCCCCATGGTGGTTGTCTTAAGATTAAATCCGACATTGCGTCTCTGCGTCAGAGAGGACTTGAACCGCGCTTGCTGAAGGACGGACGTGAGCTCAGTAAGGGCTCCAGGGGGAGAAGGAACGCCAGGCATGGCAGCTGGGCTCCACGGGGACCGACGTGGAGATGAGATTTGGGAGAGCCTCCCAGAATTCACAGAAAATGGGTAAAGAGATTAAAATAACAAGAGAAATGACAAGTGATGTGGAAGATAGGTGAAAAAAACCCACTCTGCACACATCACACCTCCCAGAGCAAGAAGATGGAAATGGGAGGAGAAAAGTGAACAAAGAAACCTCTCCTAAGACTGGAGGTTCAGGTCGAGCAGTCTGCCAAGTGCCAGATCTAACCAGTGAAGAGACTTCTGCCACAACTCACTCAAGTGAGCCTTCAATATTAAAAACTAAAAAAAGTACAAAATTCAAAAAAGCATAGTTATTTTACAAAGATCACAAATCACAATGGGCCCCAACTTGCTGTAATAGTAAATGCTGGAACAGAGCGGAAAAATCGCTGCAGTTTGAAAAGATAAAAGTTTGTGACCTAAAATTTGATTTATAACCAAGTTGACGTGTACGTAATCCGTCAAGGGGAAGGCGCTGTCATCTGTGCAGAGTGACAGACAGTACAGCCCTTAGGAGCCCTGGCGAAAAGGGGGCGGGCAGAGAACCAAAGTGGGGTGTTCGAGAACTAGAGCCAAAGCGGGGTGCCCAAGAACTAGCAGGGACCGCCACCACCAGGACGCTAGAGGAAGCCCTAGGTGACTGCTGTTCGCGAGATAACACAATTCAAAGTGAATATGCAAACTTGCTCTTGGGGAAGATCAAAACTGAAAAATAATTATAAGTAACATTAATAGAGAAGCCCAATTATACCAACAAAAACTTGGACATTAGAAATGGGTCAGGTATGCGGGCATGGTGGCTTGAAACTCACGCCGGGTGCCTGTGCATGTGTGCCTAAGATCCCGGGAGGAGAATGGAGAAGGGACTGTGGCCTGCCCATTCCCGTGTGTGTGTGTGTGTGTGTGTGTGCGCGTGTGTGTGGGCGTTCTCACTTTCCATTATGCTGTCTCTGCCTCTCTCTGGTAAGTGCAAACGTCCTAAGGCAAAAACTTCTCAAAAAAAAAAAAAAAAAAAAGGGCCCCGCAGTTCGGCTAATGGCTAAGTCGCGTGGACTCCCACGTAGCCGACCGCAGTGTGCGTCCCGGACCCGGTGACTTAAAATTCACGCCGGGCGCGTGTTCGTGTGTGCCCAAGATCCCGAGAGGAGAATGGAGGAGAAGGGATTGCAGCGTGGCCATCCCCTCTGGGGGGTGATTTCTCGCTTTCTGTCTCTAATGTCTCTCTCTGTCTGTCTGGAGAGCGCAGGCGCCCTATAGTGAAAAACCTCTCCAAAAACAAAAAAAAAAGAAAAGAAAAGAAAGAAAAAAAGAAGAAAAGAAAAGAAACGGGTCAGGTATGAATGGAAAAGCAAGGAAGCAAAATCAAAACAAAAGAAACAAGGGCCAGCCTGTGGCCTGGTGGTTAAGGCAGGCGGATCCCACATGGCCGACTGCATGGTTCAAGGCCCAGACTCGGCTGGTAGAGACACACTGGTTGCGTGTATGTGTGCCCAAAATCCCGAAAGGAGAAACGGAGGAGAATGGGTTGCAGCGTGGCCTTCTCCCACTGGGGTGCTTTCTCGCTTTCTGAATCTCTTTCACTCTCTCTCTCCAGCAGTTAAAAACAAAAAAGCTGAAACAAAACAAAACAAAACATGATGACAGCTACCAGACCAAATATTTTCCTTACAAACTAAATACATCGACTTTCTGTTTCTAGGAGGAAATGAGAGACCACGTATCAGGCAACGCAGACACGAAATTGTTAAAACGTGAGAAGATGACAAGGTGTCACGATTGCGGGAGATACTTTAATGCAATCTTCGCGAACACTGGGATAGCAAATACAAAATGAAATGAAGACTGTTGACTATGGTCCTCACACTTCTGTGTTCAATACCGACCTACCTCAGGGACAGGGACACGCTCGCCCCCAGCACCCGTGGGGATCCTGGCTGCAGTTTCTCCAAGTGACAAGCACGGGACCCTCTGAGGAGTGGCGTTGGCAGGTAGGCCTTACCTACCTCCCCATCTCCTGCATTCTGTGATCTGTCTAGCCCTCTAGCATCTGTCCCCTGTCGTCTCTCTGGATCATCTAAGTTCCTAATTGATCTTCGATCATCCATTATCTATCATCTGTGTATGTACTGATCTTTGATCTATATCTAAGTTCTGTCATTGATCTTCTACCATCCATTATCTATCATCTATTTGTCTATGTATGTACCGATCTGTTGTTTGTATCTAAGTTTCTATCTTTGATCTGTCATCTGTCATTTATCACCTCTGTGTCTATGTACCCATGTACCCATGTTCGTATGTATGTATGTATGTACCTACCTTCCTATGTTTCCACCTATCATCTAAGTTCCTGTCATGGATCTAGCTATTATCTATCATCTACTTGCATTTCTTTCTATTGGTCCCATTTACCTAAGCCTGTAACTGTATCTCTATTTAGATCTATAGGTACTGAACACGGACCGCTGTCACTACCTACAGGTCCTGTACTCGCACCTCCATCTACCTATCTATCCACCCATAGCGATTTTCCAGAAGTATCTATTCCCGGGAAATCCTGAGTTACACTCTTGGCTGGGTTGGATGTATGGGGTGGTGGTATTTAAAGATCATCTAGTTGAGAGTCACTGGTATAATGGATAACAATAATAAAACTGATTAAGACTGATCTAACAGTGATTCAAAGGCTAATTTACTCCTAACAGTAACTCTAGGAGGTGGACTTCTATCCCCACCCACTGTACAGATGAAGAAACTGAAGCCCAGAGAGGCCGAGTGTCATGCCACGTCACCCAGTGAGCAGGTAGGAGAGCGAAGTGAGCCCAAGCCGTGTGACTGCAGAGCCTGAGCTGGGTCCACCTTGCCGTCTGGCCTTGCTATCCTCCTCAGGGGCTTAAGGAATTAGAAAAAATATATGCCTCAGACCCCAAAGTAGAGATACTGGGTCACTGGAAAAGTCATGATGCAGGTTTGCATCGAAAACCAGAAAAATGCATCATGACTTTTCTGAGGCCCCAGTAAGCATAGGCCACATTCTCTAACCACTTGTCATAAAAACAGAAATGAACACAAACGTTTTAATACAAGGAGAGCAAAATGCAAGTTTTTTTTTTTTTTGGAGAGATTTTCACTGTAGGGCGCATGCGCTCGCCAGACAGACAGAGAGAGACATAGAGACAGAAAGCGAGAAATCACCCCCCAGGGGGGATGGTCACGCCGCAATCCCTTCTCCTCCATTCTCCTCTCGGGATCTTGGGCATGCACGCACATGCGCCCGGCGTGAGTTTTAAGCCACCGGGTCTGGGACACGAACCGCGGTCGACTACGTGGGAGTCCAGCGACATAGCCATTACGCCAACTGCTGGTTCCCCAAAATGCAAGTTTTTAGGGAGAAAAGAAGAGACAATCTTAACCGACTTTCAGACAACGAGAATAAAGCAACACTGACACTCTCTGTTCAGAGAGGAATGACGGCGGAAACAGCGCATCCAAACTGATGGCACGGGGCCAGAGCCCTGCTTGGAGGTGAGCGCGCTGCTGTAAACATGCTCTTTATTACACAGAGGCAGTAACGAGCCGGGCTCTCAATTCAAGAGGTTAGAACGAGAACCCAGTAATATGGAGAATAAAAGGAGGAGAAGAATTAGGAAATAAAGGCCGAGGTTAATTAGAAAGTAGCCACAAACTCCAAAGAAGAATCGGTAAACTGGAGCAATGAAAATGCAAACAAAACGAGCCCCACACAACCTCTGAGAGAAAAGGGGGCGAAAAATACAGCATTCAGCATCGTGGAGGCGGGGAGGCGGCCGCTGACACCCACTTGGGACATGTCATCACGGCACGTTAGGTAAACCACGCTGCTATGTTTGAAAGAAATGACGAGATAGATTTTCTTACTGAAAGGCACAACATCAACATTGGTATTAAAGTAATATTCCTGAATAGACCCACAACCATGTTAGAAGATAAAAGGAAACCCACTGGAAAGGCGGAGGGAGCATAACGAGGCAGATTTATTTGCTGGCGGCCTTTCTTCTTGCCTGGAGGACCCAGGAGAACCAGGCGGCGGCGTTAGCGCTGTGAGGACTTTACCCAGTGAATAGACCCAAAATGCCAGTCTGCGAATACAGCAGCAAAATCCAGCTGGAAGATAATA